TAAAACTTTAATCTGTACAAGTGTAGCCGAATTTAAATATGGAACGTTTGAAACGTTCATATTATCAGGAATAGGGGCGTTTTCCTCGCCCTTTACAATTTTATCCACACCCCTTATTGTCTCAAGCCTACGTTAGCTGAGAAAACGGCTTTGAATTTTTGGCAAGAGGTTCCTGTGCTTCTATAAGCTGCATGGGCAAGTGTATATTTTTTAATTTAAAAAAAAATATTGTAAATGCTATAATCACTTTTTTAAAGGTAGAAAAGGCAAAAAAAGGCAAATATCTTAAAAAAGGCAAAAAAGGCAAATATCTTAAAAATGGCAAAAAAAGGCAACTTCAAATGTGTATATATGGAATCAGGGAATGCGAAATCGTGGACATTCTTAATCGAATATACTCTATCTCTTTAGCAGAAAAAAGGCAATTTTCATAAAATCCGTTCCCTGGTTGTCATATACAGGGTGTAAAATAATAACTGTTGCACAGTTTTTTTTTTTTAAATAAAGTTGGCCTTTATAGATTTTGCGAAAAAAGTAGTTCATTGTTAATTATCTACAGATTTTACTTCAATTTTATTAATTTGTTTTTAAATTTTAACATTCATTTGGGTTTACCAGCGATAAGTACTTTGAGATAAAAGCGCAAGTAAAAAAGTCGTTTTTGTATAGTTTTTAAATTTAACCTTCCTTTGGGTTTACCAGAGGGTTTGGGAGAAAAGCGCAAGCGGCACGAAAGTCTTCGTCGGTTACTTTATTACATATCTTCTGTAACCATAGGCTCATTTCCTCCCACTAGGAGGGAGTTTTTTTCTTTAAACAAAATCTAAGAAAAAATACACTGAAAAAGAGGTGTGTGCCGCATGTACTTATCTCCCAAAGCTGGCAAATGCAAATAAGGATTAAAATTTTAAAACCAATTAATAAAATTAAAGTAAAATACTTACAAAGTTAACAAAAAAATACTTTGTTTAACAAAATCTATAAAAGAACCCTTTTATTTTTCAAAAAACCTGTGCGATAGTTATTATTTTACGCCCTGTACTTTGCCATTCATATTGTGGCACTTGGGTCCACACTATTTTTGCGTAGAATTCGGTTAGGGATTATAACCCTTACTACGTAGAATCCTCCTTTCTGTGTTACCGAAGAAGAGAGGAGGAACCCCTCTCTTCGTCAAAAGTGTATAACATTTCTTGTGGATATAATCAGTGTGGCCATTTTAGCCGTTTTCCGGCTAGATTTAGCCGGTTGCGATAGCAAACAGCCGGAGAAATTTCTATTTAGCCGGCAGCCGATTTGTTAGCCGTTTTGCAGAAAAAAATTAGCCGTTTTTAGCCGATTTTGCTATTTGCCTTGTTTTCTTAAATTTAAAATATGTATATTTGTTTCCATTTTAGACTAAGCGACCCATTTCTGTTACTAGCGTTACCGTGGAAAATTTTCATGTAAGGCATGGTTGTATGAAATTTTGCCGATTTCGCTTATTTTTATTTTAAACGAAGAAGGGATTTTCTTCATAAAATGTTTGTTATAAATGTCTTAATTTTAAGTGTGAAGTTTTATTCGCATACTTAGAAAATAAGAAATGTTTCACTGTTAAGACAATTAAGATGCGTTTGTGTTTGGATATAGTGCCAACAAACAGAATAAATATTACATGTAGATATTCTGCCTTATCCTGAGTTTCGCCTGAAAAAAAATTCACCCGAAAATTTGTCATCCGCCCGGTTCAGGGAAAATGAAACTCATGATAAGGCTGATTGTCTTCCCAGAAAGCGCATATTCAATTCTGCCTAAATTACAAAACATCATTTTTGCCCAATCCCAAAGGTTTAAGGTAATATTACGTTCAAATTGACGAGCTAAACATGTTAAATGGGCTTGAACCAGTTAAATGAACAAAACATGTTCATAAACAAGTTAAATCGCATGCAATTGTTGTTTGAAAATTGAACCAGTTAAATAATTTAACTCGTTTGAAAACCAGTTCAGCGCAGAGTTGTATTAGAGAGCTTTCTGCTCCGGCCAATCAGAAAGACCCAAAAGCTTTCATTTGACACGCAAACGTTCAAAAAATTTATATTCAGAAAATTATTAAAAAAAAATTATCAAAAATATCAAAACTGTATGCATGTCTGCCCGCCTAAAAAGAGGCCCAGGCGGTAATTAGTTATTTCCCATGAGGTCTCATCGTAAGCAGAGATAAATAGTGCATACGAACTAAACATTTTGAAGTCTCTAAGTTATCCGTATGCGTTAATATCGTGAAGCAGACATTCGCACAAAACAAATTGAAACACAAAAACTTGATTTAGAATATTTTTTTTCGAATTTTTATTGTTAATCAAACAACCGTCAAAGTTAACTCCAAATGTTCAATGTGGACGATTGTGTTTTCCAAAAAGCTCTTTTTCATTTAACAAGTTAAATGGAGCCAATTTGAACGTAGTATAAGGGAAAAATTGATATTTTAAAGCACTATGTACACAGATGTATTTTTTTAAACAAACTTTTTTGCTGAGAACTTATTTAAATTCCAAAAACCGAATGCCAACTTGAATTGAAGGAACCAACACTGAAGTGAGTCAAAATGAAAATAAAAGAGCACAAATTTCTATGTACAGCAAAACTCTCTGGGAATCCTACGAGACATCTGCCGGTCATATGACGGTCACCTAAATGGGAGATCTGCAGTCTTTTGGCATCATATTTTACATCAGAATTGAAGAGATTTCTGAAAAACTGACCAGTTCTTTTGTGTAACTGTGATTTTGCATCCCTTGTCAACATATGGCCTCGGTTGATGTTAACTTAAGGTCGTTGTTTTACTGCCTTAAAATTTAACGGAAATTTTAACAGCGTTTTTTATGTGTATTGGTTTCTATTTGAGTGTATTTAGAATCGGTCAGTCTGAAGACGCTTTGTAGGGAAGACAATAGGTTTGTTCGTCGAAAATCCAGCGAGAATTNCGGAAATTTTAACAGCGTTTTTTATGTGTATTGGTTTCTATTTGAGTGTATTTAGAATCGGTCAGTCTGAAGACGCTTTGTAGGGAAGACAATAGGTTTGTTCGTCGAAAATCCAGCGAGAATTATCACTCAAAATATCAGATAGTAAGAAAAAATGCTCCCAAATTCTCTCTCAGGTAGAGAAACTTGCAATTTTCTGTACGAACGCAAATTTGCAAGTTTTTCTGCCAGCTAGTGTCACGGTTGCATTTCAAACAAAAGAATTTTTAAAATTCTTTCAGAGGGGCAAAAAACAGGTTCTACGTGTATATATCTTGTCAGTCCGACTTTCTTCAACATACGTCCCATTTTCTTTGTCGGGTCTACTATATCGTCTCTGGTTGAGATTGCATTCCGATTAAGAATACAGTTTTTTTTGCCGAGTACCTTCCAAATCATTGGAATTAACTAAATTAATTAAGTAAACAAGTATTAACTTACATTATTTATTTTTAAATCGCTCCAGTTTGTAAATTTTTAAATTTAACGAACTTGTTTATTCAAATTATCGTCGACAAAAAATCCAACCATCCACCAACCATGTGCCACAATCATATAGTCGTTTAAAGTACAAAACCGCGTATCTTCATTCTGCAAAACCGCGTAACTGACATTGGCTGCCAAAAATTGGATTTCCTCACACAAGCTCTTGGCTCAATCCTTATCCATTCGTCCTGAAATGTACTATCCAGAAATGCGATTGCTTTAAAAAAAAGAGAACCATTTTGAAATATGAGTGTTTTTACGCTCTAGAAAATAATTTCTACAACTTCATATACGCGGTTTTGAATTTTGCTGATACGCAGTTTTCCATATAGTTATTTATTTTTACAAGCAAGTTCTAGATATCAACCTAGTCTAGATATGAACCTCGTTGTAGGCATTATGCCAAGGAGATACAATTAGAAGACTTCAGATGTCGCCCCGCCAGAAGAAGTTAGATATTGCGCCTAAATATATGCACCATTTACATACGCTACAGCGGAAATGGACGACACGCAATTTCTTTAAATGAAATTAACTGCTGTTATATGTACATATGTATGTTTATACAAAAAGTAAGCAAACAACATTTCGCTTGCATAGTCTTCTGTTCTCTTTCATTGCAAGTTGAATTATTTTAATATCTATTGCAAAATTTTGTACATAAAATAAAATAACACTTTTTAATATACAACGCTTATATAAATGGAGTAAAAATTAGAAAATAAAATAATGTAAAGAAAATATTTTTTTAAAAACAAGCTTTTATTTAACATGTAAAATCAAAGGAATAAAATAAAGTAATGTAACAAAAGATTTTTTAGTAAGAAAATTGTGTCAAAACTGCACTAAAGCGAATAAAATAAAATAAGTTAAGGTCTCGTTAAAGTTACTAAAAGCCATTTAGTGAAAGGAGTTATTCAAACTAATGAAAATTACTAACAATTTGTACTAATTTTTAAAAAAGCTTGTCGGCGAATTCAGCGTACATGCATAATTGGTTGGGTATGTATATGTATGTATGCAGATATTTAAATGCCGGTTTGCTATTCGCGCGACAAACTTTCTTAAAAACGAAGTAAATTAGTACAAATTGTTAGTAATTTTCATTAGAGTTTGAATAACTCCTTTCACTAAATGCCTTTTAGTAGCTTTAACGAGACCTTAACTTATTTTATTTTATTCATTTTAGTGCAGTTTTGACAACATTTTCTTACTAAAAAATCTTTTGTTACTCTACTTTATTTTATTCCTTTGATTGTACATGTTAAATAAAAGCTTGATTTTAAAAAATACGAACATACGATATGTTAAGAGAAATATATTTTCTAGCCTTTTTCTGGGTGTTACGCACTAGTTTTAATGCACAATTTCGTACAGGGCCCGGGTGTGCCGCTGCAGCAGCTACCACCTAACGTAACTGATGTATTTTGCGTTAAAGATAAAGATTTAATAAAATTGATATAAATTTGTAGTAAACTAAGGTAAATTTAATACTCATATGCTTACAAAAATCCGTTGATGAAACGAAGCAGAACCATGACCCAAAAATTAGGGGCGAAACTGGATAGAACTGTAACTGCGAACCCTGCCAGCAGTGTGGGCCGAATAACTCTGCGACGTCCCTTTGTATCCGCCAAAAATCCCCATAAATGAGAACTTGAAATAATACCCAAAAAACCGATCGCACTAAGCACACCCTTGTCCTGATTCGATAGTTGTAGGTCACATTGCGCGATGGGCAAAATAAAGCCCATACCAGCTGTCTCTAGCAGAACTGTGGCCAGCACCATGCCAGAGATACAAATCAAAAAATAATTAAATTTACCAAAACCTGAAGAAAGAATAGTAAACATTTTTATTACATACATACATATGTACATTAGGGTGGTCCAAAAATAGTGAAGTCGAAATTTTAATGCAACCCCCTAGGATTGATCTATATCGAAAAAAGTATACCCCCATTTTTTATTTTGAGCGTGTGTGAATTAGTAACAAAGTTCGCTGCGAGTAAATTTTTGACAAGTATGAGGTGTATAAAATTTCACTCATGAGGCTAGTGAAATTTTTGACAAATGCATATACAATTCTGCCCCAATTTTAAGCAAAAATTGGCAAAATTAAGAAGTATTACACTACATTAAATATTTCCGATAAAGAAATGTATAGAATTCTTGAAAATCAATATTTTTCGATTGGAAACCCCAGGAGACTTTCAATAGTAATACCCAATTGTTATTTAACCATTTTTTAATAATAACGATATTTTATTTGTAACCCCATTGCAAAATAAAAAAAATAGGGGGCTGATTCTATTTCAATTCATGCAGGGTGAATAGGTTGAAAATTCGATATCAATTTTAATAAGATTTTTCGTGTTTTTTAGGGTCTTTTGATTTTTCAGAAAATGGCCGCCATTTTGTTAATTCTCAAAATTTTTTTCAATTTTCAATTATGCAAATATAAAGCATCATAAACACTTCTACAATCAAATAACCCAATTAAAAAATATTGATTTTTCAACAAAACCAGAAAGATTTGAATAAAAAATTGTCAGCCGTTTTTCCCTAAAACCACACTTTGCCCTAAAATTTTCATATGCTCGTAACAGCGTTTTTTTTTCACAAAACAAAAAAATAAGTGTCTCTTTATTTGCCCTAAAAACATTTAAAATCGTATTAAACTTGATTTCGAATTTTCAAGCTATTCACTGAATCCACTCATCCTGCATGAATTGAAATAGAATCAGCCAGGGGTATATCTTTTTCGGTATAGAAGATTCCGACTTTACTTTTCACATGCATTTTTGGACCACCCTTATTTACATGCATTCCATATGTATTTGAAAATTCCAACTTAATTTACTTACTTGTTAGCGCCAAGGAATCACTGAAAGTGTAGGCGTCTGGGCCACGATATCTATTCATCGTTGCAGCATCTTGAAGGAATAGAGTTTAACATATTTAAAAATAATCATAAAATTAAAAAATCATAATATATAAAAAATAAATACTAAAAATCGGTTATAAAATTCAATTTGAATTGAATATTTTAATTCAGATAAGAAAAAGCGCGATTTACGTATGTACATAAATATGTACATGCACCAATATGTACATATGTATATGACCCATTATTTTTTAAGTTGGAAATTTATGTCATGGCTCCGATTCGCTTCAAATTTTTTGTATGGGTTCTACATATGAAATAAGCTAACAAGTATTTTTTTTAATTTTTTTTCTTCGGAGATATGATCTGTTAAATTTTTGCATTTTTTCGTGATTCTGACTAATCATGTACTTCTTCAAATCGTTATATCTCGGGTTCTGCTCATCGTGCAGACTTCATCTTAACGTCGTTTTAAAGCTAAAGAAACGGGCTTAACATTTCCTCATATAAGATGGTGAAGATTGGCCTAAAGCTAACTTAGCTATTAACAGCTGAACTTTTTGAAGTTGATTTGCATAGTGAAGACATGAAATTATACCATCCTAATCCTTGTTTAATACTCTATAAAACACGGGGTTAAAAAATGGGGGTTTTTCAAGAACTATTTTTCAAATATTTTTTTTTTATGACGAGATGCTTTATTTTGTGAGAATCAACAATTTTTTGTAATTTATTTTCGAAAACTTATGATGAGATATATTTAGTAAAGTGTTAAACATCGAGTTTTTGCAAACAGTAAAATTTCATTGCGGATTCCGGTAGAATGCCTATCCAGAAATAATATTTGTACGGCAAAATTTTTCTGTAAGGCGACAAACCCCTAGAAATGGGTGTGGCAATTGCAGTACTAAAGTTAGCAAAACGCGGATTTTATTATGGATTTCGGCAGAATATCGCTTCGTTAACAATATTTGTTCCACAACTTTTCAATCCATCTAGATATTCTGGAGAAATTCACAATAAAGTCTTAATTTATAACCTTTGGTTTCAGTATAGTCACGGCCATTTCTAGAATATTCTTGGATTAAAAAAGTTGTGGAACAAATGTTGTTAAAGAAGCGATATTCTGCCGCTTCGTCCATTTTCCAAAATTTTATCATAAACGTATTTCTTGGTAAAGAATTGTGGCAAGCACCAATTTTAAATAAATTAGCTTTAATATTTACTGATTTATCGAAGATTTTGTATTTCTCTAAATTACCGTTATAAGGGATGTGGGCGTGGTTATTGTCCGATTTTGAAAATTTTCGGCCATTTGGTATGTTGTACCAAGGCCAAAAACTGAGCGAAGATTGGAAAATATTGGTTCAGCGGGTACCAAGATATACACATGTAACCATGTAACCATAAGTGGGCGTGGCCACGCCCATTTTTAAAAATTTATAATATTCTTATTTTTCGTCAAAAAATTATTGTAAGTATCAAATTTGAGTGAATAATCTTCAGTTGTTACCAAAATATCGCTGTTTTCGTATTTCTGAAAATTACCGTTATATGGGAAGTGGACGTGGTTACAGTCCGATTCCGTCCATTTTCAATACCAACCTACCTTGGATAAATGGAAACCTACATACCAAATTTCGTCTAAATTTTCGATCGAGTTATCGTGTACACGGACGGACGGACAGATGGACAGACGGACGGACAGACAGACATGGCTTAATGGACTTCTCTATTCATTCTGAGCATTTATGTATACATTTGTCTATATCTAGCTCGATTCGTTTCGGCTGTTACAAGCAATCGTTATGTGAACAAAGTTAATATACCCTTGTGCACAAGTGCGCTCGGGTATAAAAATATGTGTTAGCTAATTTCATGTATAGGACCCATACAAAAAATTTGAAGCCAATCGAAAGTGTAACGCCAAAACTTGGTGTCCGATATGAAAAAGAATGTCTCATATACGCACCAAATGTTTATATGTATGTATATACGAGTAGTATCTTGTATATATGTACTAGGGATGTTAATTTTTTCGATTTTTGCGATCCCGGGATTTTCGGGTTATCGTTTATACAATCCCGGGATTTAGATATGGCTCATTCCATCTCAAATCACCCAGGCCGGGGGAAAGTGAATTTAAGTTTGCGATGAAACTCGCAGGGATTGTTCCTTGCACAATTTAAAGAGATACGTATTTTTTTTTTGCTCAGAAATGCGAATTTTTCAAATAATGAATTTTTTTCTTTTTGAGTACGAACGCTTCTTTTTTTCTCTCTTAATAGCAACTTTTGATGAAATCGTTTATAACTGCCGCAAAAAGCAAGGATTTTAACGATTTTTTTTTAAATCGCAGATATTGATCTACTGAATCGATCTAGTGAACTAAACATCAGTAATTGTTTATTAATAATTAATTATTGTTTATAAACAAAAAAAAATTTTTTTTCAAATTGATTATTTTCAAATTGCCACATCTTTTTTTCTCTTAAACTTTTTTGTCTATTGGGGAATAGTATAAACTATTTTCAGTACGAGTAGCAATATGCTAAAATTCGTCATTTTCGAGTTATGATTTTTTTTCTGAAAATGCACTTATATGATGCTAGCAGATTTTCGTGCCAGTTGAGGGCACAAAAATTGTTGCCCATTATGACAAAATTTCCTTGCTGGAAATTTTTTGAGGTTGCCCGATCAGAGCCAAAAGTTTTTCCCAATTGGGCTCTAATTTTGGCCCAATTGGGGCCCAATTAGCGATTTGCCCAATCTACCGAAGATTTCCCCAACCAGTGCTCACAATTTGCTCAAAGTGAACATGCATACGCAATTAAAACGTTTTTATCGATAAAATCACACATACACACATCAAAATTCCCTACGAAAAAAAATATTTTTTAATTTTTTTCTTGAAAAATTTTCCACATACAAATTTTTTGATAAAAAAAATTAGTTTTTGAAAACATGCCATTTCAAAAAAAAAATTGGAAAAAATCACAATGGTAGCTCTGAGTATTGCGCAATATTTAAGTATAATGTTATGGGGTGCACTCTACAATAATTTGAGTTATGAATTTTTTTTTACACCGAAGTTGAGTAAAATTAGTACATTACCAATTTACAAATTTTTTAAACTTTTTTAGAATTTTTTTGAATATGCAGCTTTATAGCCCATTAAATTTTAGTATAATAAAGTGGAAGTTTTAAGCGCTTGCAAAACTGCCGTTAATTTTTTTTAAATTCTTTGAAAACGGTTTTAGGCATTTTCATCGATAAGGAAAAAGTGCAAGAAGCCGTGAGCATAAACAATATTAAAAATCAACGCAATTTTGCAGTAGCTTAACACTTGCACTTTATTATACTCAAATTTAATGGGCTACAAAATTCCATACTCATAAAAATTCTAAACAAAATTTTATTTTATTTTTTACTTATTTTACTCAACTTCGGTGTAAAAAAAAATTCATAACTCAAATTATTGTAGAGTGCACCCCATAACATTATACTTAAATATTGCGCAATACTCAGAGCTACCATTGTGATTTTTTCCAATTTTTTTTTGAAATGGCATATTTTCAAAAATAATTTTTTTTATCAAAAAATTTTTTGGTATGTGGAAAATTTTTTAAGAAAAAAATTAAAAAATATTTTTTTTCCTAGGGAATTTTGATGTGTGTATGTGTGATTTTATCGATAAAAACGTTTTAATTGCGTATGCATGTTCACTTTGAGCAAATTGTGAGCACTGGTTGGGGAAATCTTCGGTAGATTGGGCAAATCGCTAATTGGGCCGAATTGGGCCAAAATTAGAGCCCAATTGGGAAAAACTTTTGGCTCTGATCGGGCAACCTCAAAAAATTTCCAGCAAGGAAATTTTGTCATAATTGGCAACAATTTTTGTGCCCTCAACTGGCACGAAAATCTGCTAGCATCATATAAGTGCATTTTCAGAAAAAAAATCATAACTCGAAAATGACGAATTTTAGCTTATTGCTACTCGTACTGAAAATAGTTTATACTATTCCCCAATAGACAAAAAAGTTAGAGAAAAAAAGATGTGGCAATTTGAAAAAATCAATTTGAAAAAAAAATTTTTTTTTTGTTTATAAACAATAATTATACAGTATCGGTCATATCTATAGCACGCCGTTTCGAAGTGATATTGTGTGCAACTTATGCTTATTTGTTTATTTTTGAGAATTTTCAATTAAAATACAGTTCTTTCTCTAACAAACCCCATATAAACCCAAGTTTAACAATTTGTAGAAAACTTCAAAAAAGTGCAACAAATTTTCAACTAAGTTTCAAACTTTTTTCTCGGAAGTGTTAGAATTTTTTTGAGTACACAGTTTTTTAGCCCCTGCAATTTTAGTCTGATAATGTGCAAGTTTCAAGTGACTGAAAGTTACCGTTGATTTTTTAGAATTTTTTTCGCCAAAGGTGTTGCGGTTTTCATCCATATACAAATAAATTGAGTTTATTCATTATATTATTCTTAAAAATAAATAAATAAACATAAGTTGCACACAATATCACTTTGAAATGGCGTGCTATAGATATGACCGATACTGTATATTAATAAACAATTACTGATGTTTAGTTCACTAGATCGATTCAGTAGATCAATATCTGCAATTAAAAAAAAAATCGTTAAAATCCTTGCTTTTTTGCGGCAGTTATAAACGATTTCATCAAAAGTTGCTATTAAGAGAGAAAAAAAGAAGCGTTCGTACTCAAAAAGAAAAAAATTCTTTATTTGAAAAATTCGCATTTCTGAGCAAAAAGAAAAAATACGTATCTCCTTAAATTGTTCAAGGAACAATCCCTGCGAGTTTTATCGCAAACTTAAATTCACTTTCCCCCGGCCTGGGTGATTTGAGATGGAATGAGCCATATATATATTTTTTTTTTTATATGGGAGTTGAAGTCGGTTTTTTTTTGCTAAAAATTACTTGTTTTAATTTAAAAATTCTATCGTTGTCTTAATCCACCTAATATTAATAATGAAACAAGATTTGTAGTACAGAAAATGATGACGAATATTCAGTAGTTGAAGCACGATAAAGCTACAAGTATGGTTCATAAGGATGCCTTAATTTAAACAGAAAGCAAATGGTTTGTCTTCTTTAATTTATGTTGAACTGAATATTTATACTGCTGTTTTATATTTTCATTTGTTTACCCCGAACGACGTCGGGTGCTCTGCTAGTTTAATAATATACAAAGTTATTATAAAATTGCAATTTATGTGAAAACGCCATCAAAGTTTGATCAATTCATACAGTTTTTATAATTTTTAAGCAAAAAAACACAACCGACTCCAATTCTCATATCAAAAATTAGGAGTACCGTTAATTTTTTCATGACGAAATGATCCGGTGTAAACCAAATTAATATGGGACCACCTGTGGGACACTACCTTTCCGATAGAAAAAGAATTATCGAAATCGGTTGACGTGGTCCAAAGTTATGCGGTAACATACATAAATAAATAAAATAAAAATAAACTTTTTCACATGCAACGCTTTTATAAATGGACTAAAAAGCAGAAAATAATATTTCTCAGTCCCACAGAATTTGTTTTGATAACTTTTGATTTTGAAATTTTAGCAAAAGTCATTATAAACAATTAATGACATTGAAAATGAAAAGCGTGGGGCGCATGTAATACACTTGAATTGATATGAAAAGTAACATATGTATGTATCTAGGCATATGAATAACGACCGCTTAAAATCGATCTCAAATTTGTACTTTCGCTATAGAATGTTATGTAGTTTGACTATTGTCAATGAAATCGAATGCTTTGTACTGCATGCGCTCCACGTTTTTCGTTTTCAGTGTCACTAATTGTTTATAATGACTTTTGCTAAAATTTCAAAATCAAAAGTTATCAAAACAAATTCTGTGGGACTGAGAAATATTATTTTCCGCTTTTTGGTCCATTTATAAAAGCGTTGCATGTGAAAAAGTTTATTTTTATTTTATTTATTTATGTATGTTACCGCATAACTTTGGACCACGTCAACCGATTTCGATAATTCTTTTTCTATCGGAAAGGTAGTGTCCCACAGGTGGTCCCATATTAATTTGGTTTACACCGGATCATTTCGTCATGAAAAAATTAACGGTACTCCTAATTTTTGATATGAGAATTGGAGTCGGTTGTGTTTTTTTGCTTAAAAATTATAAAAACTGTATGAATTGATCAAACTTTGATGGCGTTTTCACATAAATTGCAATTTTATAATAACTTTGTATATTATTAAACTAGCAGAGCACCCGACGTCGTTCGGGGTAAACAAATGAAAATATAAAACAGCAGTATAAATATTCAGTTCAACATAAATTAAAGAAGACAAACCATTTGCTTTCTGTTTAAATTAAGGCATCCTTATGAACCATACTTGTAGCTTTATCGTGCTTCAACTACTGAATATTCGTCATCATTTTCTGTACTACAAATCTTGTTTCATTATTAATATTAGGTGGATTAAGACAACGATAGAATTTTTAAATTAAAACAAGTAATTTTTAGCAAAAAAAAACCGACTTCAACTCCCATATAAAAAAAAAAATATATATATGGCTCATTCCATCTCAAATCACCCAGGCCGGGGGAAAGTGAATTTAAGTTTGCGATAAAACTCGCAGGGATTGTTCCTTGAACAATTTAAGGAGATACGTATTTTTTCTTTTTGCTCAGAAATGCGAATTTTTCAAATAAAGAATTTTTTTCTTTTTGAGTACGAACGCTTCTTTTTTTCTCTCTTAATAGCAACTTTTGATGAAATCGTTTATAACTGCCGCAAAAAAGCAAGGATTTTAACGATTTTTTTTTTAATTGCAGATATTGATCTACTGAATCGATCTAGTGAACTAAACATCAGTAATTGTTTATTAATATACAGTATCGGTCATATCTATAGCACGCCATTTCAAAGTGATATTGTGTGCAACTTATGTTTATTTATTTATTTTTAAGAATAATATAATGAATAAACTCAATTTATTTGTATATGGATGAAAACCGCAACACCTTTGGCGAAAAAAATTCTAAAAAATCAACGGTAACTTTCAGTCACTTGAAACTTGCACATTATCAGACTAAAATTGCAGGGGCTAAAAAACTGTGTACTCAAAAAAATTCTAACACTTCCGAGAAAAAAGTTTGAAACTTAGTTGAAAATTTGTTGCACTTTTTTGAAGTTTTCTACAAATTGTTAAACTTGGGTTTATATGGGGTTTGTTAGAGAAAGAACTGTATTTTAATTGAAAATTCTCAAAAATAAACAAATAAGCATAAGTTGCACACAATATCACTTCGAAACGGCGTGCTATAGATATGACCGATACTGTATAATTATTGTTTATAAACAAAAAAAAAATTTTTTTTTCAAATTGATTTTTTCAAATTGCCACATCTTTTTTTCTCTAACTTTTTTGTCTATTGGGGAATAGTATAAACTATTTTCAGTACGAGTAGCAATAAGCTAAAATTCGTCATTTTCGAGTTATGATTTTTTTTCTGAAAATGCACTTATATGATGCTAGCAGATTTTCGTGCCAGTTGAGGGCACAAAAATTGTTGCCCATTATGACAAAATTTCCTTGCTGGAAATTTTTTGAGGTTGCCCGATCAGAGCCAAAAGTTTTTCCCAATTGGGCTCTAATTTTGGCCCAATTAGCGATTTGCCCAATCTACCGAAGATTTCCCCAACCAGTGCTCACAATTTGCTCAAAGTGAACATGCATACGCAATTAAAACGTTTTTATCGATAAAATCACACAAACACACATCAAAATTCCCTAGGAAAAAAAATATTTTTTAATTTTTTTCTTAAAAAATTTTCCACATACCAAAAAATTTTTTGATAAAAAAAATTATTTTTGAAAATATGCCATTTCAAAAAAAAATTGGAAAAAATCACAATGGTAGCTCTGAGTATTGCGCAATATTTAAGTATAATGTTATGGGGTGCACTCTACAATAATTTGAGTTATGAATTTTTTTTACACCGAAGTTGAGTAAAATGAGTACATTACAATTAAAAAAAAAAATAAAATTTTGTTTAGAATTTTTTTGAGTATGGAATTTTGTAGCCCATTAAATTTGAGTATAATAAAGTGCAAGTGTTAAGCTACTGCAAAATTGCGTTGATTTTTAATATTGTTTATGCTCACGGCTTCTTGCACTTTTTCCTTATCGATGAAAATGCCTAAAACCGTTTTCAAAGAAGATAAAAAAAAATTAACGGCAGTTTTGCAATCGCTTACAACTTCCACTTTATTATACTAAAATTTAATGGGCTATAAAGCTGCATATTCAAAAAAATTCTAAAAAAGTTTAAAAAATTTGTAAATTGGTAATGTACTCATTTTACTCAACTTCGGTGTAAAAAAAAATTCATAACTCAAATTATTGTAGAGTGCACCCCATAACATTATACTTAAATATTGCGCAATACTCAGAGCTACCATTGTGATTTTTTCCAATTTTTTTTTTGAAATGGCATATTTTCAAAAACTAATTTTTTTTATCAAAAAATTTGTATGTGGAAAATTTTCAAGAAAAAAATTAAAAAATATTTTTTTTCGTAGGGAATTTTGATGTGTGTATGTGTGATTTTATCGATAAAAATGTTTTAATTGCGTATGCATGTTCACTTTGAGCAAATTGTGAGCACTGGTTGGGGAAATCTTCGGTAGATTGGGCAAATCGCTAATTGGGCCCAATTGGGCCGAAATTAGAGCCCAATTGGGAAAAACTTTTGGCTCTGATCGGGCAGCCTCAAAAAATTTCCAGCAAGGAAATTTTGTCATAATGGGCCACAATTTTTGTGCCCTCAACTGGCACGAAAATCTGCTAGCATCATATAAGTGCATTTTCAGAAAAAAAATCATAACTCGAAAATGACGAATTTTAGGATATTGCTACTCGTACTGAAAATAGTTTATACTATTCCCCAATAGACAAAAAAGTTTGAGAGAAAAAAAAGATGTGACAATTTGAAAAAAATTAATTTGAAAAAAAATTTTTATTTTATTTATAAACAATAATTAATTATTAATAAACAATTACTGATATTTAGTTCACTAGATCGATTCAGTAGATCAATATCTGCAATTTAAAAAAAAAATCGTTAAAATCCTTGCTTTTTTGCGGCAGTTATAAACGATTTCATCAAAATTTGCTATTAAGAGACAATAAAAGAAGCGATCGTACTCAAAAAGAAAACAATTCATTATTTGAAAAATTCGCATTTCTGAGCAAAAAGAAAAAATACGTATCTCCTTAAATTGTTCAAGGAACAATCCCTGCGAGTTTTATCGCAAACTTAAATTCACTTTCCCCTGGCCTGGGTGATTTGAGATGGAATGAGCCATATTCATTATTTTCCAACAACTTAACATGAAAAAATTGCATTCATATAGTTTGAGAAGCTGTCCTACCATATAATAAATAAATGGGTTTGAAACCTACTTTATTATTTAGGTTGAAAAATATTTCATTAGTAACAAAACAAAAGACAGTAATTAAATTTATACGCCCTTAACAATACTTTAGGGTGTACATATCTGATAAAGTAACTTAAGGCATGTCGAAAAGAGCTAGTAGCAGAAACACCTTATTTCAACCAGTTTAGTCTATATTTCTTTTCTTTAATTTATATTTACTTTTTTTAAAAAAGGCAACCTCATTTTACATATATTTAACTGCATTTAAATGCGCATTTCAAAATTTGTACAAAAATTATGAAAATGCAAAAAATTGTGCCAAAATTTAAAATTTTTTACTCATCATTTTTAGAAAAATGTGATGTACGCAGTTTTATAACCCATTAAATTAAAGTAGGGTAAAATGGAAGTTTTATGCAGTTACAAAATACCGCTGATTTTTGGGATTTTTTAAATAAACAAATTCATATAAACAAATTGTCAAACATACTTTGTATAGAAGAAAATGCGTGACACCGCCAGCAAAAAAATTATAAAAAATCAATGTTACTTATAGTCATTTGAAACTTACAATTAATTGTCCTGTAATTTAATGCGTATCTAGAATTTTTCTAAAAATTCTGAGTAAAAAGATTGAAACAGGTTGAAACCAAAAAATTGAAATGAATATACTCACGACACTATGGGCCAAATATGGTAAAATTGCGTTTTTAGTTTTATCCTTTTTCATTAGAACTTTATATTTTCAAAGACAAGATACATTCTAAAAATTATTAAAAAAATTCAGTGCAATGTAGAACTAAAATGGAAAGAAAGAAAAAATTCTGTAGGATTTAAAAAAAAATTTTTTTTTGGGTTCACAAGGACGAACAGTTGTTGAAATACCATTTTAAGCAATTTTATATTTCTATGCTAATAAAGTTTGAAGGACTATATTCGAGGACATTGTCGAATTTATATTAGTTCTTAAAATATAATTTTTCGAAATAAATATTTCAAAATTTCAACGATATCCAGGAACAAAACTTTTAAGGACATTTTCAATATCTTATGCGCCAAAAAATTTAATCTGTTCTTTCTCTACAGAATTTGCTCTTTAATTTGTTACCCATACTGTTTTTCTACACATAGCAATAAATTTTTTAAACCATTTTCTGAACTACTCATATTATTAAATTTTCAGTCCTTTTAATAAATCCTGACCGAGAGAAAAACTCAAAAAGCAATTTTACTGCATATATTTGGCCCATGGCTTCGCAAATATATTGATTTTTTGTGTGTGTAACATTGCCTCTCTCGGTGTTATGTGTATGTATAAATAATTAGCTAGACATTTATAAAAATATATTAAATATTAAATAAACAAAAGAAATATAGCAAAAACTGATCATCATAAGGTGTTTCTATTATTGCCACCTTTGTAAATTGCAAATCTCGAAAATCCCGGGGTTCTTGGCAATTAATACCGGGATTTTTGGCACTTAAAAAGGGCCGGGATCCCGGGTTTAACATCCCTAGTATGCACCCAGTACGGCATAGCTCAATCTATTACCTCAGAAAAATTAATTTATTTCTACTTATTTAGCAACTAACTTCAAATTGATGTATAATCACCTAGCAGCCTCATTGAGATAAACCAAATGCTTACACTTTTGATGCAAATAATTCAATATTAGTTGAAAAACATCTAACTGGGGGCAATTAACTATTTCAGCGTAAAATATTGCCTTTGAAGTGCTTTAAGCCAAATGCATTTTAAAGTAGTTGAAATCTAATGCAGAGTCTGATAATTAACTGATGCCTAGGACATCGCCATGTTAAAGTCAACAGTTCGTTCCAAGGAAGAAATTCAGATCTTCAACTAGTTGTAGTGGGTAAAAAACTGGTTGAACATCGATATTTTCCGTACTGGGCACATACTTACATATGTACACGTGTATGTATATATGTATGTACCTAAGCATGTATATCAGCGAATGAAATTTTTTGCATTACATAAAGTGATTGTAGATTTCGCAAGTAGTCTGTGGGAAAAGTGGTAATTCTGAATATTTAGATTCGTAGTGAAGGGAAAAGTTTTTTGTGTTGTTCAAGCAAATAACTAACAACTACTTTTTAAGGCAACAATGCTGACTCTTTACGAGTAATATGTACGTGATACTTATGTATGTACATATAGCACTATACGCTAAAACCACAAATTAGTTCCGATTCCTCCAAACCAATAGAATAACAAAAGCGCTATTAAAATTTGTGCACTGCAGGCTACAGATTAGAGCTTCTTATTTAAACGTATCGGTTGACGGCCAAAGGGCTAGTCTAAAAAGCATTGATCGTCGTGTGAATGGCGCAATGCTGTGGGACCAGATTAGTATTTGGAGCGGAATCTAGCCCCTTTTTAATCAATTTAGCATTTCAATTGCATTTAGAATTCTAAAATTTTCCTAAAATCCTTTTGTATTTTGAAATTACATATATCTGTAAATAAAAACGAGTCCTTTTTGAACTAAATTCCAAGCATATCGCCTCATTATGCGCATATACATACTAATTATATGTTACAACAAATAACACTATTGCATACAGTCCTGCCAATTTGGCTCAATTCGTGCAATTTTTGGCCCTATTTTACACGTAATTTTTCAATTTGGGACAGGGAGCAAACTGGCACTTTTGAAAAAATTAATATTTCAAAACCTTTTGTGAAATCCGTCAGGTGTACTACTTTTTCACCAACAAACATTTCCTAGTTTCTAAGGTTAATGCAACTTGTTTATATTTTTGTCAACATTGACAAATACATAGTTTAGGAAGAGCCTGCCTGAAACTATACAAAAAAGCAAATAAGCAAATGGATGTATAGAATTGACAACAACAACCACGCTGTCGAGTTTAAATAGCGGCAAATCAGCTGCACTTGATAGTAGTTGGTTGAATAAAAAAAAAATGAATTAGCAACAAGTTTACGGGTGTACATAGCTCAGTGGTTAACGCTTCTGACTTTGAACATCGAATACGCAGGTTCGATCCCTGCTGAAGTCTAGAAAAAAGAAGTCTGATGAGGAGATGTGGTGATCTCCGAAATAGTGCTATAACTTCTACCGCTTAGACTTTGCTGCTTTTTCAATTTTTCCTAATAAACAATCGTGGTACAAAGCTCAATAAAAATATTAAAAATAAATTGTTTATATTTTATGTTTTGGTATTGTATTTACTTTTGTATTAAAAACATTGTACTTATTTGATTGCTAAATGTGAAAGAAAGATATAATCTTCTTTTAATTAAAAAGAATTATATTTTATTTAGCACTTTTATTTTTCTATTTGGCACTTTTTTTATCCCCTCGTACCTAAAGGCAATTGGCAGCCTTGATTGCATCATCCTTTTTACTACAAAAGCAGCAACTGAAATCAAACCCATTCCTATTTAATCATGTACATACGTATCTGCGTCAAAAACATTCTAATATTAATGAATAAAACATTTATTCTAGATTTAATGGTGACTTAGGTGTTTATTCTAGATTTAATGCTGAGTTAGGAACACTAAAGTAGTGTTGGAAACTACTTTAGTGTACATATTCAATACGGCCGCCGAGTTGCTAGAGGTGCGTCCACCCGGTAGTGCCTGGGTACCATTCCAGGTCTGAGCAACATCCAAAACAAAAAAGTTTCCGAGTGTACTTTTGCCTTGAAAACTCTTCTCACAAATTTCATTTGCCGTTCGGAGGCGGTATAAAACTGTAAAGGCCCGTCCACATAGAACTTTGGCGTTGCGTAGGCGTTGGCGTCGCTTCAACCGCTGACTATGAACACATGAATTCAAATGCAGCCGTCCGCATAGCCAAAATTCAGCAACGCTCACGTCAACACAAAGCGAAAAGATGGCCAACTCTCAACTTTTCGCGTGCGTCGCTCGTCAGCTGTTGCAAATAAATAAAACTAATAATAATAGATTGGCGTTTACACATATGTTAGTGTTTGGCCGAGCTTCTACTCCGATTTGTGGCGTGCGCTTTGATGTTGTCACACAAAGCGGAGGGACCTACAGTTTTACGCCGACTCCGAGGGACGACCGCTGTTAAGAAAAAACCTTTTTCTATATTTTTTGCGTTGTTGCTTTGACCAGGGTTTGAACCCAGGCGTTGCGGAGTGGAAGCGCGCACTGCTTACCACTACACCACAGCGGCCGATATACTATAATACAATAAATAAAACTATGTGAAATATTTTTCCTTTTTAATCAAGTATGGGCAAGAAATATCGGTTTTAATGCAACTATTGATATGAAATATTAATTTATCTGTCGTTAGTATGTTAATTTAGTGGCCCAAGCATTCGCTGACAAGCGTTCATTGTAGCAAGCATACTTTTAACGTGCGTTCTGTCAAACCAACGCCAACGACAAAGCCAAAGGGAAAGTTCTATGTGGACCGGCCTTAAGCCTCTCCATTTTTATAACGTTGTATTTAACATCAACACGCACCCCAAAAATTGGGCACCAAAAAATTTTAAATATACATATCACACACCTAGATCTAAAGTGTGATCAACTCAATAAATCAATGCTTAGGACTTACCTCCAGTGAATGCAAACATGGTTGCCACTCACCAACATTTTTTTCTACCAAAATCTCTTCAGAAAAGTTACCAAAAGTTACCCAATATACACTACCAAAATTTTCACTTCTTCACTGAGAAAAAAATATATGTACTGAATAAAACTGGTATATTTCACAACAAATGTGTATATACTTACAGCCCGTTTCTGTGGCTTAATAAATTCAATATTTTTAAAATTTGTAAATTTTTGATTATTTATCAAGAACTCCCAGTTCTAGCACAGAAGTTTAAATCTATAATAATTTTTTTTATTAGAAAATATTTTTCTTACAATTAATTGTTGCATGTGCCGTTGTTCTCATTTTGGTTGTTGGTGTTTCCGACAGGGTAGGAGTATGATGTAATGTGGAATGATTTTCCATCATCCCTTGTCAAATTTGGTTTGGAGACAAACCGGTTTCGAAGTTGTGCCAATTTCAGTGTCATTTTTCGTTCGGAATGTGCCGATATTTGCGACTAACGGAATAATGGCACCGGCACACAAAAAAAGGTTGCGGGTGTTTTTAACCGTCCGTTTGACTCGTACATAATTTCGAGTAAATTGCGAAAATTGCATATTTTGCTATTTTTTCGCTTTTTCATAATTTAGTATACGTGTCAAACGGACCTCAGATTTGAATTCAGTGGGTCGAAATACATGTCGGTAGGTGGGTCTAGTAAAAAGCACGCGACATTTTTTTTTTGTGCCGGAATAATCAAAACGATTTATGGATCTCACCGAAAATTGCCAAATGGCCACTATTAAAATGTGAGATGGTAGAATTCAAAATTTATCGCACAAATTCGAAAGATTTAGAAGTGCAGCCCTTGGTGCTGCCACTATAATAATAATAGATTGGCGCTTACACATATGTATGTTAGTGTTTGGCCGAGCTTCTCTCCTCCGACTTGTGGCGTGCGCTTTGATTTGTCACACAAAGCGGAGGGACCTACAGTTTTACTCCGAACAGCGATTGTATTTTTATGAGAAGCTGTTTTTCATGGCAGAAATACACTCGGAGGTTTGTCATTGCCTGCCGAGGGACGACCGCTGTTAAGAAAAAACCTTTTTCTATACCTTTTGCGATGTTGCTTTGACCAGGGCTTGAACCCAGGTGCTGATGAGTGAAAGCGCGCACTGTAGTGATGTGCCGAGTCGGCTATTTTTGGTATTCGAGTATTTTGGTACTCATTAAAAAAAGAATCGAGTCAGGATTCGAGTCAGATACTCGGATCAAGTATTCGAGTTCAGAGCTCGGTATTCGAATACGTTATAGATTCGACTGCTGAACATGCACCCAACCGAAATGCCGACTTTTTATTTAACATGATATTATTATTAACTCCAAGATAGTATATCCGATTTATGTAGATCCAAACATAGAAATCTAATTCTTACATACTTACAAATAATAATTAAAATTAAATAAATATAGGGTTCAATAACAGTTGCTTTATTTATCATAGTAGAACTAGAACTTAGTAGTCTGTCATAAAAAAAATTATCCAAAGTAAATAATGAGTTAAAACAAATAAATCTTCAGTACCTTAAAAGTTCATAAACAATAAAATTACTCCTTTGGAATTTAAAATTCCTTTCATGTTTGGCAATTAATACCTATAACGATATTAAAATTAATTTAGTTGTGTGGTGTATTTGGTAAATATATATACATATATATTTTTTTTTAACGCTAAACCGCCATTTATATATCAAAAATACCTGATTCGGTGTTTGATAATTATAAGTACTCGAGACCCGTACTCGAGTCTGTGTATGCGAATACTATAATTTGCTTACTCGAGTACGTGAGTACTTCTAAAATACTCGAGTCAGAACTCGAGTCGACTCGACTCGGCACATCACTAGCGCACTGCTTACCACTACACCACCACTGCTGCTGCCACTGTAATTGAAATATTTCCAGTATTCGAATATGAGATGACTCTAATTTTATCGAAGTAATTTTGTAGAAGTGTCGGTAGTGCTGCCACTGAAACAATAACGCACATGCAAAACATAACTCATTTCTTTCCAGTAATGCGAATAGATATTTAGTTGGAAAAGTTACCAAAATGAAATAAAAGTTACCATGTTACCAAACCGTTTAAAAGTTACCACTTTTGGTAGAAAGTTACCAATTGTGGCAACCATGAATGCAAATAGTTTTTTCTTCATGATTATATAGATTTACTAAAAACTACTCTTAAGGCGGATTCACCGTTCGTGTCCGAACACTTTTTGTTAGTAATTATATGCGTTCCTTTTCCACTTTGTTTCTCTGAGAGCGCGACGAAAAATTTGCTGAACACTCTTTGTTCGAATCGAATTGATTTTGATTTTCAGTCCGAACGACTTGATGATTTACAACAAAATAAAATGTGTCGAATTGAACGGTGAACCGTACTTCAGCACCCTCTCCGGCAAAAATGTTTTGAGAGCAAATAAAAAGTTGTCCGGACACGAACGGTGAGCCCGCCTCTATTACCTGGTTTTGTATTATTTGCGTTGAATCTGTACGTAACACAAGCCCGATCTGAATTTTGAGTTAGCTCAATTTAGATGTACGAGTGCGACATGTATGTACATTAGGCTGATCCAAAATAACTAATCTAGCAGTGCGCGATTCCACTCTGCAGGGCTTGGGTTCAAGCCCTGGTCAAAGCAACATCGCAAAAAAATATAGAAAAAGGTTTTTTTCTTAATGGCGGTCGCCCCTCGGCGAACAATGGCAAACCACCGAGTATTTTTCTGCCATGAAAAACAGCGTCTCATAAAATACAACATCAAGGCGCACGCCACAATTAGGAAGAGAAGCTCTGCCAAACACTAACATAAATACATACATATATGTAGCGCCACTCTATTATTATTTATAAATTTATGGACTTAAAAGGACCTATGTACTAAGGCATCCAATCCCGGACCATTTTGTGAATCCCGGGATTTCGGGATCGATTAATTAATATATGCTAACGAACCAGTTTTGTAGTCTTTCTTTAGTGCGAATACTAGAAATAAAAATAAATTTCTGCTTTTAAGCAAAGAAATATAAATATCTTTAATTTATATCAGTTTAAAAAGCTAATTACATACAGAATAACTAAAAACTACGGAATTGAAATTCATTCATATTGCAGTCGAAGTAATTTTAACAAAAAGTAAAAAATAAGAGATCATCTTTACACTTTCATGTAGTATTTATACATATACATATGTGTGTAGTAATATAAGAATGCCACAACATATGTACATATACAAGTCGGACGGATTTCGTAAAAAAATTATGTCATGTCTCCGATTCGCTTAAAATTTTTTTATGGGTACTATACATGTTCGGGATCCCGAATCCCGGTACTAGATGCCTTAGTATGTACACACATACATATGTATATGGTATCCATGGCAATGATGGGCATACTGGAGCGCTTTTGTATTTAGTATGCCAGTTTGGGTACTAAATACTCAAATACTTAATATTTGGAGATGTCTAATATTCAAGTAAACAAAGCTTAGGTATTAAGGAGTTGGTAAATACTAAAGTAAAAAATACTTTGCCATTTAGAAGCTGTTAGATGCTAAAGTAAAGGCGCTAAATACTATAGTCCAAAGTAATCGGGTACTTTGGAGATGCAAAATACTTTCACTAAAGTACTAAGGTATTTATTAAATGGTTAAATACTTACATACTAAATATTTTATGATTAAAGAAAATTGAATCGGGACTATTTCGAGATTTTCGAGACTACTTAGGGATTCCCGGAACTATTTCATGATTTCCGGGACTAAGGAGTGCGTCACTGGAAATTAGTGCATGCATTTTCGAATATTACTTTTTTAATAGGAATGCAAAATATTTTTTTTTTATCAGGTTAGCTTTGAAAACCATATCAGATTTTGTTACGTGACACGTATCAGTACCGGTTAATTTTCACAGTAAATATGAGCAGCGAACAAAAAACGCGTGAAGCAATTGTAAACATTTTTGTAAATAATATATGTGATAATAATAAAACAGTTCAAGGCAGATGATAGTGTTACTCGTAAGAAAGTAACGGGACGGAAAAAAGGGTGTTGTGACCGTAACAAAGCGGATAAAGTGGTAACCATGCTGAAGAAAAAACCAAATCTCTCGGGAATTATTGTTCGGCTCGTGGGATGCTCAGAGCCATTTGTACGTAGAGCTAAAGCAGAAGCTGGTCTGAAGACGTACAAAGTGCAAAAAGTGCATAATGAATATAAATTCATTCAACAAGAAATATTTTTAATAATTTTTTATTACAAAACAAATAATCATTCAGGAATCTATTCCCTTATTTACATATGTATGTACAATAGGGTGGTCCAAAAACAGTAGAGTCGGAATTGGTTCTCTCCAGGAGACTTTCAATAATAATACCGAATTGTTTATTCAACCATTTGTTAATACTAACGATTTTTTATTGGTCCGCCCATTGCAGACTTTTCCGATGGGAAAATATCGATTTTCAAGCATTCCATACCATTTCCACGAAAAGTTCTTTTTTTCCCATACAAAATACGTGGAAAACTTTGAGCGCTTTGAGCGACCTCTAAATATTTTTTGATTTAAAAAAAAAAAAATAGGGGTATACTTTTTTCGATATAGACCAATCCCAGGGGGTGGGAGCATAAAAATTCCGACTTTACTTTATGACATGCATTTGGACCACCATAATGTAGACATGTACATAGTACTTGTGTTGTATAAGCAGAAAATTCTACGCTTTGGTGACCAACCCGGAAGCTTCATATCTATCTATATACATATATAATATGCGAAGGCATTTTTGTGCAGCATAAAAGATCTGTATCGTTCGTTCGATTTTCAAAAATGGGGTGTCAAATTAAAGCGCTTGGCCTGTAGATGGTCAAACTGGTTTCAATTTTTCGAAAACAGTTGCCACCTGTTAAATAACTAAACTGAAGTTATTTACTAATCAATGCCCTCAGATCCACACCGTCCGTTCGATTTTCAAAAGTTAGATACCAAATTAAAGGGCCAGGGTGGGGGTGTTCAAGAAGGTTTTACTTTTTCGAAAAAAGATGCCACCTGTTAAGAAATTAAGCTCAAATTATTTAATAAGTTAAATGGATTGTCAAAAGATGGATATCAATCGAAATGAGTTTGAAAATAATTTATTTCAAAACTGGGGGGGTTTCCATGTGCTTAAAAAATTAAATTCAACATAATTCATCAGTTAATTGAAATATGTATAAGAATGCCAGGCGAAAGATTTTTGTTTGAAAATACTTTTTAATTTTTAACTATAAGCTGATAATATTTTTTAATTAGAGTTGCCNGGTGTAAAAAAAAATTTAGTTCAATTTTAATTAAAGGAATTTGGTAAGTGAATAAGGTGTCGCTATATGGGTGTCATACAAAAGAGGTTTAAGAAGGTAGAAGTTTGAAAATATTTTGAATAGGGTTCCCACCTATTGAGAAGTCTAATTGAACTATTTTTTATATGAAACATTAACGATGGATGTCAAATAAGAGAGCTTCAAGAAATACTTAGTTTGACAATTTAGTACATTTTAATATGTTTGAGGGTTGCCCCAGTTTAAAGGGATAAACTAAAATTATTTAATAAGTTAAATGAGTTACTAACCGATGGTTTTCAATGGAAATGCGTTTAAAATCCTTTATTTAAGAACTATATTTAGGAGGATTGCCACGTGTTTAAAAAATAAATTTCCACTTAATTCATCAGTTACATGAAATATTTATAACAATGTCAGACGAAAAATATTCGAAAATAATTTTAAGAGGGTTGCCGCCTGTTTCGAAAGTGGTATTTCGTTTCATTATATATAAGTTACATGAAATTTTAAAATATGGTTATCAAAAGAACGAGTGTTAAGAAATCTTTGAGCTGAACATTTGTTTTTTTTTGTTGAAGAAATTAAGCTCAAATTATTTAATAAGTTAAATGGATTGTCAAAAGATGGATATCAATCGAAATGAGTTTGAAAATAATTTATTTCAAAACTGGGGGGGTTTCCATGTGCTTAAAAAATTAAATTCAACATAATTCATCAGTTAATTGAAATATGTATAAGAATGCCAGGCGAAAGATTTTTGTTTGAAAATACTTTTTAATTTTTAACTATAAGCTGATAATATTTTTTAATTAGAGTTGCCATCTATTTTTTTGAAGGTCATCGGTCATCACATCTGCACCGTTATTTCGAATTTCTAAAATGAGAAGTCAAATTAAAGAACTGGGATTCTACATAGATGTGCACAGGTTTCATTTTTTTAAGTTTCCGGGAGATTTGCAGTTTGATGAAATGAAAACCGACACCATGCGAGGCCTCTCATCACTGAGAAATGGTTTAGATTAGTTATTAGGAATATTTTTAGAGGTTTTTGAATAGGGTTTAAAATGTTAATTAAATGTTGGCGTTTTGACGCCATGCGGATTCACTAGTTTTTTCTATTAGTTATTCGTCTAGCGTTGATTAGAGTTTCCCAAACTTCAAATATCTACGAAAACTAGAAAACACAATGCAAACTTTATGCTCCTTTAGCTTTAATTTGAGGACTGAAATTGTTTTGATGATTCCATTATTTCCTTTAAGTTTATTGGGAGCTTTGACAATTTTACCCTGAAATTTTTTTATGTAAGTGTTTAGGCGCGTCTGCTAACACCAGGCGCCTAAATACATGTATGACTGCTGCATGTGCAAAAATTTCCTTTATGCAACTTAGGAAATTTTTGCACATGCACTTCTCAACTGCCAAGTAATTGAACTTTCTTAAGTTTCAATAAGATGGCACTTCAAAGTATGCTCGGCCTAGTCTGATGCATCCTCCAGACACTGCTTCCGGAGTCTTCTGCGGACTCTGCATGGCTTACAACCATGCGGAGGTGGTAATAGTTGATTACCATTGGCCACAGTGCCTACCCACTACTTTTTGGTCCAATAAATATTTTTTTATATACATACATACATGCAAACATACTGGTCTCCCCTCTCACCGAGTTATTCATTAAGCATTTATTGGAAATGCAGTCTCACCGTTGAAACACAACACAACGGTATTAATTTTTATCAAAAACTAATATAACTACACTTGCAAGAGAATCTTCAGTAGAAACTGGGGACTAAATCCTAAACTTGTGATGTGGATGTATACCGTGATCATAAGACCAATTCCAACATACGGCGCCTTGGTTTGGTGGCCCGGCCTAAGCAGACAATATAATGTCAGCAAGCTAAGAAGCATACAAAGGGCAGCAAGCGCAGGAGTAACAGGCGCACTAAGATCCTGCCCTGCAGAAGCTTTAAACGCCATCCTTAATTTAATTCCTATTGATCTCCACCTGAAAGAAGTGGCTATGAAATCGGCGGTCAGACTCAGAGAGTCGGGCCTTTGGAGGACTAGACACTTCGGACATGGGTTGATCATAAATCAAATGCAATTAAATAGGACGACAGATTATATGGTAGGCAATTTGGACTTCAGCTGTAATGTGCAAGTGCTATTCCCATCCAGAAGGGACTGAGAGACCGAGTAGCCGACCGAGAGAAGATCTCTCGATACACCGATGGATCCAAGATGGATTGCGGTGTGGGAGCAGGTGTCTACTCCAAGGAACTCGGCGTGGCTCTGTCTCTACGGTTGGAAAATAATACAAGCATCTTCCAAGCGGAAGTCCTAGGGATCCTAGAAGCCTGCAAAATCCTAGGCAATAGAGTTGGACACATCAGTAAAGCAACAATATACTCTGACAGCCAGGCGGCGCTATTGGCAATAGCGTCACCGGTTACCAAATCTAAGCTAGTTGGGGAATGCAAAGTAATATTGCGCTCAGTGTCTCAGTCAAATACCGTCTCTCTTGTCTGGGTTCCCGGACATAGGAACATAGAAGGCAATGAGAAGGCGGATGAGTTGGCGAAGGCAGGAGCCGGTTTGGATGAATCCCAGGCAGTGGCACTGGGTTGCCCTCTAACAGGGCGAAAACCTTGGACCTGCTTAGCAGATCAAGGCCAGAGGTATTTAGAATTTTAGCAACCATCACGGGCCACTGGCCCATAGGCAAACATGCGGCAAAAATAGGTCTACCCCATAATATGATTTGCCGCAGCTGTCAACTAGAAGATAGCGAAGAAACTGTCCACCATTTCCTGTGTGAATGTCCAGGCCTTTCGAACATTAGACACAAGACGTAGGGAAACATCTAGTAGCAGAACTAACCGACCTATCAGGAGCTACCATTAGCGAAATCGGCAGATTCATTAGAGAGTCGAAATGGTTCGACCTAGCAACATAGGAAGTGCATAGACAAAATATTTATCCCCCGCGAGAAGTGCATCAAAATGGTGCAATAATGCGCTAATTGTGTCCTGGGCAGCGACTAGGAAGCACTGCAACCAACCAACCAATATGGTAAACAGACGGAAAAAATTAATTTGAATTAATAAGCATAAATGCAAATTAAAATTTTACCCTTACAGACGGCAGTAATGCGAATGAACCAGCCGCAAGGTCGTGGGTTCGAGTCCCACGGCCAGTATACTTTTTTTATTTCTTTTTCATTATTTTTTTATAAGTTCTATATTTTTTTACGTTACTTCAGTTAGTTATTGTTGAATTTTTAACAAAATTCATCTCTAAAAATTAAAATTAACTAATAGTGAAATAAGAAATGTGATATAAAATAAAGCAAATGAAAATAAAGTAAAATTGAACATATAAATAAAATAAAATAAAATAAAAAAATATAAAATAAATAATAAAAACAAAATATGTTTCGCAATCCCTCCAACCGAGTATCGAACCTGGCAGCTACAGGCTTGTAGCTCGCAACTCTCACCACTCGGCTACCGCGCACGCGAAACTCGACTGCTTCGTTTGCTTACTTGTACAAAAGACAACAACTGGCCGTTTTTGCCAGTGTTGTCATCGAAAATTCCCCGGATCCGAGTTAATTACCAAAAATTTCGTGCATTTGTTCGGCTGCTTATGCTCATTTTAAAGAGGAAAATGCATGAGTTAAAGCAAATTAAGGCTGGTTATGCAAATAATCGAGCCCGTTTGTCTACCGTATTAGATCTTCGTTTGTTGCTTTAATTGTCAACATTAAACGTTTTTTTGGTTTTCTAGGATCAAACAATATGATCGAAAAAATGAAAATCATAAAATAACGATTAAAAACAGGGACCGAAAATAATATTTATTTTCCAAATTTCAATTCAAAAAGTCAGTCGGAAAGAATTGGTCTTTTTAACATTTGTATACGGCAATGTGATGCTTGTTAGCCAAGGAATTTTAATCCTATATGATTTTTTTTTTACTTTTTTCAAAAAAGTCAGCAATTACCGTTATTTTTTTTACTGATAGTTTTTCAGTCAAAAGTAAACGTTAAAACTTGACTTTTATTTTTTCAGTCAAATGTAAAAGTTAAAATTTGACTTTTATTTTTTCTGTCGCCACCCTGGTGCCAAATAAAGTCAATTGACATTATTACCTTTTCAAAAGCGAAATAAAGTCGACAAAAATTTAGAAATAAAGTCATTGACGCTATTTCCTCATTCAAATGGAAATAGCGTCAACAATGCTTAAAGCATGTCGATTCGTAGAAAAAAATGTTGTTCTTACAATTGATTTTATTAAAAAATTTAAAATTACGAATATGGTAAAAACACGATGCGAAAAACCAACCGCAAAACGCAGCTGGAATAGGAGAAATATTGTAGAAAGAGTGTAGAAATGATCCAGAACTTGCAAAACATGTTTCGTTTTCACAAAAATAATGCGAACTTTATTTAATTGAAGAAACAGTCCCCGGAGGAACACTGAAAGAATTCTGTGTTTTAAATTAGCATATTTTGAACGAATTCGGAATGTCTAAGGTGGAACAGAAACCAACCTCTCTATAAGGAAACAATTATAGAAAAGCAATTTTCTTACACTGTATTCATGTCTTCGCTAGCAATTTGTGACGACATCATTTAAAAGCAGCTAAGGAGAATGACGATGGCACATTCAAGCCAATGTGCCAAAACGCGGGTATAAACAAT